CTATTATACACATAATTTAGGAAGTGCTGAAGGGTCTAGTATAAATAAATAAATACTACTATACACATATCTTTGCATGTGCTGAGGGGTTTAGCATACTCATCGCTACTATACACATATTTATGCATGTGCTAAGGGGTCTAGTGTATTCAACGCTACTATACACATATTTTTGCATGTGCTGAAGGGTCTAGTATAAATAAATACTACTATACACATATTTATGCATGTGCTAAGGGGTCTAGTATAATCAACGCTACTATACACATATTTTTGCATGTGCTGAAGGGTTTAGCATACTCATCGCTACTATACACATATTTATGCATGTGCTAAGGGGTCTAGTGTATTCAACGCTACTATACACATATTTTTGCATGTGCTGAGGGGTCTAGTATAAATAAATACTACTATACACATATTTATGCATGTGCTAAGGGGTCTAGTTTAATCAACGCTATTATACACATATTTTTGCATGTGCTGAAGGGTCTAATATAAATAAATAAATACTACTATACACATATTTTTGCATGTGCTGAGGGGTTTAGCATACTCATCGCTACTATACACATATTTATGCATGTGCTAAGGGGTCTAGTGTATTCAACGCTACTATACACATATTTTTGCATGTGCTGAAGGGTCTAGTATAAACAAGTCATTGAAAATGACACAGTCCCCATTAAGTTCTCTTTGTGCTCGTCATATTAAAGCGGAGGGGTTGTCGCGAGCATGTCCTTGAAACTTGAGTTCCAAGTGGCGTATACAACAGATTGTTTATTTACATCAAAACACGTGTTTCGTGTCATAGTAATATGGCCAAAATAAAAACAGTCGTTATTCAGCCATCTTTGATCTGATTATGAAACACACAGATATGTATGATGTATGTGCCAAATACGAATGAAAATGGTACATAAATTGTGGAAATATAGTATTAAGGCCAAAAAGTCAGATGGCTGTCAATCGGCCATCCTTGACCAGATTTTGAAATGAATTGTCATGGACATGCATCCTAACATGTATAAAGTACATGTATGTGCCAAATTTGAATGAAAACTGACAGAGCACCTCCAAGATACTGCATAAAAAAACAAAAACAAGATGCCTGCCAGTCGACCATCTTTGATCCAATTGCAAAATAAATCGTCATGGACATGTATCCTAACATGTATAATCTATGTACCAAGTTTGAATGACAACTGACAAAGCATGTCCAAAATACAACATTTTCAAAAAACAAAATGGCTGCCAGTCGGCCATTTTGAATTGAATCGCTAAACCACTGCATGTGCATATGTCCCACATAAGGTACTAGGCACATGCAAAGAATGAACGGAATCGGTCCACAGGATTCTGAAATATGACGTTGGATAGACTGACACACTGACAGACGGACACACAGACGGTCGGACAGACAAACTCAGGAACTCACGGACGGTCGGGGACATGTATCCTAATATGTATGAACTATGTACTAAATTTGAATGAAAACTGACAAAGCATGTCCAAAATACGACATTTCAAAAAACAAGATGGCTGCCAGTCGGCCATCTTTGATCCAATCGTGAAATAAATCATCATGGACATGTATCCTAACATGTATAATCTATGTACCAAGTTTGAATGAAAACTGACAAAGCATGTCCAAAATACAACATTTTCAAAAAACAAGATGGCTGCCAGTCGGCCATTTTGAATCGAATCGCTAAACCACTGCATGTGCATATGTCCCACATAAAGTACTAGGGACATGCAAAGAATGAACAGAATCGGTCCAAGGGATTCTGAGATATGACTCCGGACGGACGCACGGACGCACGTACACACGGAGACCGAATTATAAGTCCCCGTTTTTGGACTTCGTCCGAACGGGGACTAATAAATACTATTATACACATATTTATGCATGTGCTAAGGGGTCTAATATAAATAAATAAATACTACTATACACATATTTTTGCATGTGCTGAGGGGTTTAGCATACTCATCGCTACTATACACATATTTATGCATGTGCTAAGGGGTCTAGTGTATTCAACGCTACAATACACATATTTTTGCATGTGCTGAGGGGTCTAGTATAAATAAATACTACTATACACATATTTTTGCATGTGCTAAGGGGTCTAGTATAATCAACGCTATTATACACATATTTTTGCATGTGCTGAAGGGTCTAATATAAATAATAAATACTATTATACACATATTTATGCATGTGCTAAAGGGTCTAGTATAATCAACGCTATTATACACATATTTATGCATGTGCTGAGGGGTCTAGTATAATCAACGCTATTATACACATAATTTAGGAAGTGCTGAAGGGTCTAGTATAAATAAATACTACTATACACATATTTATGCATGTGCTAAGGGGTCTAGTATAATCAACGCTACTATACACATATTTTTCATGTACTGAGGGGTTTAGCATACTCATCTCTACTATACACATATTTTAGGTTGGGCTGAGGGGTCTAATATAAATAAACGCTACTTATACAAATATTTTTGCATGTGCTCAGAGTAAAATAAAAACTTGTCTATAAAATATTAAATATAATGTCTTCTCAATTTCACAATAGCAGACAGAGATTGTGGCAGAGTTGTGGCAAGATTTCACACTATTGGTGCTTCCAAGATTAGACTATGCACTTAATGTACATTTTAATAATGAACAAAATGTTGTCTTCTAAGAAACAACAACCATTTCAATCACAGAAGTGAAACCAAGTTGTACTCAAGACAAACAACTGAATACAGGTAATCATTATTTTCAGTGCACACATAGTTTTCAAAAAAACAATACTTAATTACCATGACAACTGACAATTGACATATGTAGAAAAGACACCAGTTAGATTAATATATTAGCTTTTTAGGCCATCATTCCATTTAATTTGTTTGATCAGTTATCTGATCTCCCGGGGCAACCAAATAATTCACCTTTCAATGCATTAACTTTAGATAAAAGATGACAAAGTACATTCTCATAAAAAATGTATTTTTTCATAATCATTTCATTTCAATATATTTCGTATTTGCTTTAACAACAATATACTGCATGAGTTTTGAGACAAATTGACATGCACTGAGATAAGATGACAATTTTGTTTTAAATCTAGATTATTAATATTAAAGGCCAGCTATAAACTAATAAATAGTTTTTTTTACATAGAATGTTGAATGTCACATTGGATCCACATTCATTGCTCTTTCAAACTCCATCTCAAATAAAATCATTTACATATTATTTGGATATGACAAACCTATCAATATCAATCGTCTCCAAAAATCATGGGTGTGCAACACAAAATTAGCAATGACAATTATTTATTTATACTCACAGTTTTTTTTTTATATGACTACAAGTACCAGATTATCCAATACAACCATTTGGTTACCAGCCTTCCAAACTGGTAACCCTTTCAGGCTCCAAGAGATTGGTTTAAATGTGAGCCCTCTTGTATCATTCTAAAACTTAGCAAACAGGAACTCCTGTCGCATTTCATGTTGACTTGTTATTAATTTTAAATTAATCTTTTGGACAAAAATGATTAAATGATTAAAGAGAATAATAAACAGACTTCGCTACTAACAACTGTAAATTTAAGTACAAATGGATTACAGTTAACACATGATATTTCAGACAAATTCTATTTCGACACTAGAGGGCAGTCAAAAACAAATTGTTGATTTTAAAACATGAGTGTGACACAACAACCACTAACACTACCAGTGATCTTGTCCTGTCCTGTCCATACACTTCTGTAATTGGTTTTAACTTTACAAGTGAAATAATTAACATCGTCCAGGTTGTTACTGTAGTTTGCAATGTCATAACAAAACAGAGATTTGAGATTTTTGCTTGAAATTTCAAGATAACAAGAGACATTTGTTTACCGTTATTTTTTATCACAGATTATTTACTCAGATAATATCAACATTTGTAACCATGACAACAACAAAAATATATAACTTACCTATAGGTGATGAGGATTTACATATATGGGATATAATGCAGAAATTTAGACAAGTCTTAAAATGGCATTATTTTAAAAAAATATAATATTCGGGAAGGATTGCAATATGTTGGTGAAAGTATTTAATGATTAGTGTCAGGAACACACCTTAACACAGGTAAATAATTGAGTTTAGGGAAGACTTGAACCAGAATTTTAAATGTTCATTCTGAACATACATACTACATACATGTATATAAATACAAGTGTATATATAATATACTGGTAGTGTAGAAATACAAATTATATCAAAATGTAGATATAATCTTGACAATATTCTGCATTCCCCGAAAAAAAAGACAGTATGAGATAAAATGAAATGATAGCAACTGATAATTATAATGATGAAAAAACAACATGGATCGGAACTGGTTGCTTAGCAACAGGTTAACAATGTAACAGCTGTAATACAGTAAATACATTCACCATACTAGGTCACATGACATCACACACCATACAGTACTAGAAACGCACAATTTACACAACACATTTACACACTTTAAAGCAGTCTCACAGAATATAACGATGGAAAGTCAACAGAGAAAATGGATAGAATGGAATCCATCAGGAACTAGAAACATTAGAAGACAGACAAGTTTTAAAGCATGATTCATTTGAAAAAATGAGGGTCTCCTGGAACTTACCTTGGGGTAGTCATCTTTTCAACACTTTTACTGGCTAATGGTTTCTTGGATGGAGATGTTTTTCTTGTGGTTTTCTTGGTTGGAGTTTTTGCTTTGGAAGTAGTTCTCAGTGCACTAACATCTGTTAAAGGTGCTGTGTGTGAAATTAAAGAATACTTGAAATAAGTGTTATATCACCATTCCATGCTCTGATTCACTGTAAATAAAGTGTCTGAGTGATAAGATTATTTAGAACAAAGAAAGTTAAAATAGAGTTTCACAACAAAACTTGTCTGTCTAACCTATTAAAAAATACCAAATCTTTGAAAGAAAACACTTTAAATTATTAAAATGAAGGGACTAGAAAAGTACATCATTTAATTTGGAGGGACGTGGTAAAGTTAATTTTGTACTGGTGTGTAAGAAATAAGAAACTATGCACAACATGGACTAGAAATAGACATGATACAGAAAACAGGCAATAAAGTGGAAATGTCCACGAAGGCACTTAGAATGTAAAAATGTAAATTGAACTATTTTTACTATTCGTTCGGGGTTGGAATAAGATGGGTGGGTTTAGGGTGGGTTTGGTTCAGGTTGGAATAAGATGGGTGGGTTTAGGGTGGGTTTGGTTCAGGTTGAAATAGTATGGGTGGGTTTAGGGTGGGGTTGGTTCAGGTTGGGATAGGGTGGGTAGGTGGGTTTGGTTCAGGTTGGAATAGGATGGGTGGGTTTAGGGTGGGGGTTGGTTCAGGTTGGGATAGGGTGGGTAGGTGGGTTTGGTTCAGGTTGGAATAGGATGGGTGGGTTTAGGGTGGGGGTTGGTTCAGGTTGGAATAGGATGGGTGGGTTTAGGGTGGGGGTTGGTTCAGGTTGGAATAGGATGGGTGGGTTTAGGGTGGGGTTGGTTCAGGTTGGAATAGGATGGGTGGGTTTAGGGTGGGGTTGGTTCAGGTTGGAATAGGATTGGTGGGTTTAGGGTGGGTGGTGGTTACCCAACAGGTTATGAATGACTGGTGTTTTCTAGTGCTAATGATGTAAACCAGATTGACATTGGAACTTGCATGGTTGCCAAGCAACCAATCAAAATATACAACAGATTCATGCATATGGATACAAAAATGTATGGTATATATATATATATATGTATATATATATATATATATATATATATATATATATATATATATATATATATATATAGCTTAACTCATTCATTTTAAATGTCAGAAAGTGATGAAATATCAAGATGATCATATTATCTAATATTACCCCCAAGGCAACTAATATGCAATAGCAATTTAATCTCACAAAAATACATGTCATATAATAGATAATTTTCCAAACCCTCTTGTAACCAAGTAAATGTATAATTTCAAGCAAAGACTGACTGAACATTGTTGTTGATGGTTATAATCAGGCAAACATTTAGTTTAGAAAGTGATGAAATATCAAGATGATCATATTATCTAATATTACCCCCAAGGCAACTAATATGCAATAGCAATTTAATCTCACAAAAATACATGTCATATAATAGATAATTTTCCAAACCCTCTTGTAACCAAGTAAATGTATAATTTCAAGCAAAGACTGACTGAACATTGTTGTTGATGGTTATAATCAGGCAAACATTTAGTTTTTTTTATCTGAATCAGTATAAAATTTACACATTGTTGAATCAATATCGTATTTGTTAGAAACACATCTACAATAGAACATATAAGCTAAAAATTTATATACACTGGAATAACAATGGAAATAAAATATATAAAGAAAATACTACAGGAACATTTTTATGGTTGTTAAAACAACAAAAAACAAAACAAAAAGACCAAGTTAGTATAAACAAATTTACAAAAACACAATAAAAACAAATTGAAAAAGAATTGTTTGTCATCTTCACTGTCTGGATGTAGACGGCCACTTCCAAAAACTATAACTAGCAGCCTGTCTGCTGTTTGTGATGCATGCTCTGAAAGCAATGACTAAGAAGCAATTTAAACTTAATGCTAGCTGCTTTAAGGTAGCGGGACTATTATTTGCATACTTGTTTTCATCTTCTAATTGTGACTAAATGACTACAAATAGACCC